GTCTTCCAGGCCTCTCCTAATCTGCTTTCTCCCCGGGCTTTGTTATTTTTCCTACTAGATAGTTCACAGGGCTCCAGGTCTATCTTCAAGAGTCTCAGTGTTAACCTTTGGCATATGCAGAATCAGAACACACCTGGGCTCTACGTGTGGGTCCTGGCAGAATTTCTGGGTCCCCACAGAGGAACGCTGTGGATCACAAGACAAGCAGCACTCGGTGTCTAACTGTGAACTCTGCTCTCTTTGGGTCTTCTGTTGGTTAGCTAGTGTACAACCAACACTCTATTTCCAGTTTCTAAATAGAGTTTAAAATCTGAGCCCAACAGAGGCGACAATAACCATTCCCTTCCCTCAATGGCTATTTTCTTTCCCACACCTTGATCCTCAAAGCCACTGAGACTCCAGGTAAACCAATAGGCACTTAATTTTAATACCTTGAAAAGGTACTTTAAAGATTTAAATGTCCAAAAATAAAGGGAGGACAGGAAGGCTAAAGAGAACTAGAAGAAGAGGAGGAAGAAGAAGAAAAGGAAGAAAGAAAAGGAGGAGAAGAAAACATAAATCTAGTTTAGGTGCCGTTGATCCCTTACACTCATTTAATGAAATCAGATCATGCCAAATACCAAGAGGCAATGGTGCCTTAAAGAAGGGCTATTCACACCAAGACTTCATTCAAGATATTTTGTAGACCATGGATAGGAAGGTAAGACATAGTCACAAACTACCTTAGAGCAGTATACCAGACATGATAAGGAATTTTCCGATTATGGAAATAATTAAAAAATCTGTGTTTCTTAACTAGCCAGAATAGCCTGTTTTTTCTTAACTATGTTAAAATTCAGATTGATGTTTGTTTAGAATACAGGCAACTGATGATGATTAGATTGCTTCACTGCATCTGTTCTGGTATTCCAAAAGGACAAAGGATGCTTCAACGTTAGCTATTAAAATCATTCATTGAATAGTTGGTTGTTTATTTAAAAAATACCAGTCTAACAACTAGTTAGGTGCTGTTCAAGGTCTTCTTTTTCCTCTAGAAAAACACTAGTGAATCGAAATCCTGGGGGAATTATGATTCAAATGTTTAAGATTATCATATGAACTGCACACTATTCCCTATTATTTGGAAAAAAAAAATATAGCTCTAACAACTTCAGGGATTCATACTAAGTCAGGTAGACTCCTCTGGTCCACTCTCCCCCAAATCATAAGTTCTGCCTAGAGTGATTTTAGAAATTATTCATTGACTGTCCATACTCTTTGTATTAGATACAAATAAAAATAAATACCAGGCCTTCCAGGGCTTATACTCTTTTTCATATCCTCGTTCCCCTTGTTTTCCCATGAACATTGTGCCCCAGTTTCTTTGAGCCAGTCATAAGTATATGATGAACTCACCACCTCTCTGACACAGGCTCAGTATTTTTGGACATGTCGTTTGCCATCCTTTGAAGTTTCTCACATGGGTTCCTAATGATTCACCCAGGCCATAGCTCCAACACCAACTCTTTTCTGAAACCTTCCCTTCTTTTTCTAGATAGAATTTGTACTTTGACACCTCTGCTCTGATTTCAATTTGTCCAAATGTTGTGGTTATATTTCTCATGTTACTTCAGTATTTTTTAAAGATGCTTTTCTTCTTTATTGGATTAACATTTGCTCAAAGATAGACACTTGTCTTCTCCTTGCCTTTCATACCAAGCGCCTTTTATACCAAGGCCTGACAATGATAAATGAACATTATTAAAAACCTTTAATTAATATCTCTGTCTCACTAGACCACACTGCCCTCTCTCAAGCCAGAGATTTCTCTAGCTCTCAAACAATTTTTCCCATACTTGTGTTTCTAGAAGGTAATATTCAAGATTTAGAAGATTTCAGCCAAAAACTATTGTCCATTTGTCACTTCCCAATATCTGATTTTCTCCTTTTCCTTTAAGAGAAACACTTATTTTCTTCCTTGGAAAACAAGCTGTCCTCAGTGTCATGTGAGCTTGGTAGCAACAGAAATTGAAAATATTATTATCTTCATCCCATCTTCTCTTTAACTGTATAATCACTAATCTAAAGAGATACCAATAAGAGTCTCTCTCCTAGGACATTGGGTCTTGGTATGAAAAAGGGAAAAGTCAGGTAGAGTCAAATCCATTGTGATGGTAACACCTTGAGGGGACGGAGCAGTAGTTGTTAATTTCTAAAGCCTGAGAATAATATTGTCAACTCTCATCCCTCTCCAAGGCCTAATTAGTTAAGGTGTCCACCCTATTATTTTTTAGTTTACATAAGTTAACTAGAATAAAATGATGTATTCATCATCTGGACAGAATGAAACGTTCTATTTCAAAAGAGTGCAGCCACCCTGATGTTTCCCATGAGTCATTTCAGCATACAACAGTGCAGCCCCATACAGTGATCTTATCCTAGAATTAGAAGCAACCCCCAAAGTTATTTTATTCACTTCATTTCCTTCTCACAGTTATAAAATCTGCAGAAACTTGTGAATTACTTCTTGCTTCTCATCATCACCCAGGGCTCTTATCCACATACTATTTACACCTTTGTCCAGATCATTATCTGATTTGACAATCACCCTTTCTACTAACACTAACCACATTTTTGAAAGCTAATATCTTTCTGACAGCAATGGGTCTCACCATTGGTGTCCCTACAAGGCTGGGCAGCTGATGAGACATCAATAGGGTGCATTTATCAAGTCAGATGTTTGGTGTGTACTTTATGTTTATGGAAGAAAAAAATGAATGAATTTTCTTGCATTTTTCATTAAGATGAAAGTCCTAAATCTACACTTTTATTTAGGGAAGACCAGAATTCTTTCTAGTCCTCATTTCAAGTACTAGGGAACAGAAGCCTCCTTATTCTCTTTTCTGTAGGATGTGACTCATTCGGCTGGCCCTATTCTTTCTAAGAAACTGTGAACATTGGCATACGGGACAGAATTCTGAGAGGGAGGCTTAAAATATGTATATGTGGAACATGTAAAGTATAAGAAGAGTATGTTAAAGCCAAGTAGTATGTAAGCCAAGTAGACAAGTTTTGTTGAAAGAAATATCCACAAATATATAAAAATATTCACAGTAAAACTCTAATAGTCTAAAATAAAAATTAAAATTGAAACTCCATGGGACAAATTCTAATGCAAAGAGAAATTCAACTTAACCAGTTTTGTTGCCATAATTTTTTATTTTAATTTGAAAATTTGTTCTGTAGTTTACCCACAAACATAATACATCATGAGACCAATTATAGAGCATGTTAAACCCTGGATTCTTCAGATGTTGGATTTCTGTGAACTATAAATGTAAAGTACACTGTATCCTTGTTAAGGTCATAAACTCTACCTTTATGAGCCATAGTAAATGTGACTGGTAAAAATTGCAGTGAATTGCATTACCCTAGATTTGAAATATTTTAAATTGTATAAAGGTTTTTTTCTATTATGTTGCCCCATTCCCAAGGAGTAAGCAAGGCCACTTAGAAACTTCTTCTCATATTCAGCTGAGGTTATTCGAGGTCCATATCCATGAGACTTCAATTTTAATGCAATGTTTTATTTTGTATCTAGCTTATTTCATAATAGCAAGTACCTTTGATGACTACTATTCAAAGGTGCAACTGTTCTGAACAGAGTTCAAAGACAGACTTCTGACTAGGGCAGTGGCTCATGACAGTAACCCTACCACTCTAGGAGGCCATGATGGGTGGATCACTTGAGGTCAGGAGTTCGAGAACAGACCAGTCTCAGAAAGAGACCCTATATCTTCTAAAATTAGAAAAACAAACAAACAAACAAACAAAAAAACAGCCAGCATCATATGCCTGTAGTGTCATAGTGTCATATGCCTGTAGTCCCAGCTATTTGGGAAGTTGAGGCAAGAGGATCACTTGAACCCAGCAATTTGAGATCTCAGTAAACTATGATGACACTACTGCTATCTTACCTAGATGACAGAGCCAGACTCTCTGTCTAAAAGAAAAAGATAGATTTATATTCTTTACTTAAATGTATTATAGAGACATATCTTCAGATCCCCTGAGTTAACAGCCTAAAGAAGTCATGTATTAATCATGCAATCAGATTACTTAATCCATTAGAGACTCATTTTCTTTTTTTCTAGAGTGAGAAGAATATTATTAGATATAAAATTCTGGGAACTATTAAGGACACATTATGTCATATAGAATAAAGTGTAACTGAGAAACTGTGGGGCACACATGTTCTAATTTCTGCAAAACATGGGCAACACCATTACTGACTGTTACAGGAGACGTTTCCTCACATACCTGCTTCATACGTGGTGGCGTGTGCCGTCATGCTCCAGGTGCTGGACCTTCTGTTTTTGGTCACCATGACCGAGAATTCATACATTGTGTTTGGTTTGAGGCCTGTTGCTGTGTAACTTAGAGATGTTGTGTCTTCTGACTATACAAGTGGGAAACACCAAAGAGATAAAAAATGAACTCTGTCAATAAATTGAGACATGCAAAAAGACTACTAAATAAAACAGAAAAAAGGGATCTGCTTTCAAACAGTAGAAGAGCTAGGGCACAGCACTGTTTCTACCTCCCTCCAACAAGGGCTTGTACTGGCTGATTACACATCCAAAACATGACCAATATAATCAGGTGTTATGTTGTCCAAAGGAGCACCAGCTGTTAAATTCTCCTTCGTGATGTTAATAACTCTAACAGCCAAATACATTTCCACTTTTTTCGGTCAACTCTATTTTTGAAGCTGTCGGCATCTGCTCTAAATTTATTTATAATATTAATCTAAGTAGTTTTCTGGGAGGTTTTAATGTTACATAATTTACATAGCTCATCATTATTACTTTCCATTGGTAAAAAGTTAATTTATTAGACTTCTATTATTTATTACTTTTTCAAAAAAGGCTTTCAAGTACAAATGTTTAGTGATTCCAGAATCTATTTAACTCTTACAAAGATGACG